TTAAGCTTGGGATAATTAAAATTTTCTTCAAAGCTTTTGAAAGAACATCCTCTTGTTCAAAGTTAGGAGGCAAAGGTTTTAGGGGGCAAAAATTTCACATATTCGAACAGACCAAAGGGACCTGGGGTGGTTGAAACAATCTTTTGTGTATGTTTTGTAAGTCAAATAAAAACCCGTTCCCTTTAAAAAGGATACGTGATATATTGAACTCGGGTGACTGACGTGGCGCCAAATTAAACTCCTAATTATTAGGGAATCGGGATTAAGATAAGATAAGATAAGATAAGATAAGATAAGATAAGATAAGATAAGATAAGATAAGATAAGATAAACCAGTAGCAAAGCGAAGATATGATAAGATGCTTAACTTGTGATGATTAACTGGCTACTGCATTTCGGAGACCTTTGAGTAGTCTGCATTGCTTTTTGTTTTTGATTTAGCGACTAAAACAGTTTTGTACGTCCTGTACAGTCCGAAATTTGTGAATTCTAATTTGTTGCTTACGCTTTTTTACTGTTCCACGCCGATGACCGAGCTCTCCGTACGAAATGTAGCTTCCACGTTACTTGTTACAGTTTAAGCCTAAACTTGTGTTTCGATGTGCTTCAAAGCTCGCCACATCAACCTCGGACAATAGAGAGTGTACACGCTATGGCGTCAATATCTTAAGTGTTTTGTTCATGCTCAATATTGTCCTCCAGTAGTCAAACCATCGCGCCACAGCAGCCTAAAGAGAGCAAAATAAAGACTTGATTGTTTGGAATGCTCCACTGACGTTACTAGAATGTTTGCATCTAAATTCTTCATTTATCATTTATTTCTTTATTTGCCATTTGTGACAAAGGCAAGATATACCTCAGTGCACTTTCACAACAGGGATTTTTACATTGGTAATATCATTTCCTACACTTGAAACAAGCTTTGCACTAAACTCAACTTGTGTGCTAACGTTCAGCACATAAGTTGTCTTCGTCCTTGTTGTCTATTTTGCCAACAGTTTTGATATTTTCGCTGTCCGGTCTACTGGTAATAAATCTGGAACAGAAATATGAAGTTACAGCTCGCTACAAATCAGTTGAAACTCTCAATTAAATGTTAATAGCTGTCAGGCATTTAGCTTTCTGCACTTGAAATCTGTTTTGCGTATCACTTAGTGTGTGGTTCCATACTTTAATGCTGTATGATAAACCCGCTCGACACAACTTTCTTCGTAATCTGTTCAACTTCAACTTAGTGAATTGTTCAACACTTTAGCATGCTCCCTTTAACTGAGCTTGCTTTGTTAAAATATGTCAGGGTTACGAGAAATGAAGGTACTCAACAATTTAACGAGAATTCAACAGCACTGCAGGGGTTATTTTCTAAGAAGTGGGCAGTGAGGCTCTGCAAGAGAAAATGAGGGACAGAGAGGGAGGCTCCCAGTCCAGTCCAGTCCAGCTCCCAGTCCAGGCTCTCTCATTTTCTCTTGGGTTCTGATATTAGAACACTGCATAACTGAATTATTTACCGCCTTGTTAAAGCGAATATCAGTTGACATGAAACAAGACCAATAAACCAAGCTCGGTAATAAACGTGGATGTATTACTCACCTTCCAATCTAATTACTCGGGGTATCAAACGAAGAAAAGATACCGACTATGCACGGCTAGTCTTGAGGCAGTATTTGATTTTGCCCCATGCAACAATTAATCTCTCTTACGCTTACTTCTTCAGGATTGTTTTTCTTAGAGCTGGGGTGTAGCCACTTCAGCCAGTTCCGCTTGCATAATAGCTATATTGACAGTTCATCAGTATTCAAGCACGCTAGGCACTTGTTTGTCATTCCTTGTAATTGTTTAATGCCCGGGATTAAATGAAACTAAGTTGGAACTGATATCATATCTTTTACAATTCTGTAATCAATCAGCCAACAACGTATTTTGTTGCAAAAACCAGTAATGGGCAAATATACTGCAATTGTATTTGTCCTTGTAGTCGTTGGCAATTTGTGGCCATGTTCAAATGCAAGTGGCTTACAAGGCTGTGAGTGCAACATAATGAACGCTTGTGACGAGCATGGAAAACCTCAGCCTAACGTGTATGTCGTGCAAGTACAAAACCTGGCATATCTGTGTGAAGATGGTACAGTCGCCATCCTGTTTGACTGCAATAGTCAAATTCCACTTTACGCAGCTACTGTTCTGACGGGTGAACAGTTCTCAGCCGCGAGCGCTGGCGCTAGACCGAAACGTTTTCGAGAAAGCGCAAAACTAAAGAGGAAATATCAACAAAAAGGCAAAGATTACAAATATTCCTCTAAGCGAGATCTTTGTTATAAAAACAAAGCGACCAAAAAACGTGCCGTTGATAAGAAATGGACGTCAGCTAAGAAAACAGTGGTCAAGAACACAGGAAAGGCTAGTGTTTGTCTACCAGCTCCAGACCTAAAAGCAGAGATACATAAAGGACATTTGATAGCGTCACAATATGGCAGAGGAGAAAAGGAGAGGATGCTGGCAACGTTTACCTACACTAACGTTGTTCCTCAGTTTGGACGCTTTAATTCTGGTCCATGGCAACAATGTGAAAGCAGCCTCATTAAGTGGGGCCAAAATAACTGTGCTTTGAGTGGAGCTCAGCATGTTCAATTGTTTATAGTGGTTGGCGCAATACTGTCGACATTTTACGGAGCCTCAGAAGCAAGATTTTTTGGTAAAGAAGGGTTCAGTGACTACCAGCAGGAAGACGACTATCCCGCGAATGTGCCCAAAGTGATGTGAACCGCTGCCTGCTGTACCTTTAAGTACAAGGATGATCAAGGAAACATTCAAACAGGCACAAGGAGTACCGCCTTTCACAGAGAAAATGACCCGGGAGATTCACCGTGCAATAAGATAAATATACCCTTCTTGCAATCATTTTTATCCCAAAAGACAACTGCAAATATCAGTTTATTTCCACAAAATCCTCAGTGCTCCAATCCGAACAACTACATTCCATTGAAATGCTAGATGGGCAGGGCGACGAAGTGTAGACGTCAGAAGATTTAGCCTGGCCGAGGAAAACACAGTCTTGAGACAATCTCTGGTGGTGAGGCTGACCGGAAGTCACGGGCTGCGAAGCCTTCACATTTTGGTAGACTTAAGACAATTCGCTACGCAGCTGAGCGCTTCTCAGTGCGCACCTTGGGCTTTGAGAAACTTTAGCCATTAAAAAGCTGCAAAAGTCCTCTTTGTATGATCTTTGTTATCGTCCGCAGAAACCAGTATCGAAAAACATGTACTCATGCACAGCGTATTTAAGATTCTTTAGTCCTTCAACCTAACGTTTTTATTTCTAGTTTTTGGCGGTATTGTTTCTGCCATACGGCAGAATTTCGAAAGTAATTTTAAGTTCGTCGGATGTGGATAAAAGACGTGATGTTTTGTTTTTCTCGTTATTCCAACATATTCCTGGCCTCGGCGATTCAAATTTTCCCGAAGGGCAGAGTTCAAGAAACAGACTGAATTAATAAAACATCAGAGTTTGCATTTAGCGTCCATCACTGCCATTTGCCTAATGTTGCCTAGTATTTTCAGAGCCTCGAGGCGTTTAATTTTTGCTCACGCTGTAAACACTTATCTATTCCGCAACCGTAACAAAACAGAACAGTCGCCTAAGTGGACAGCAGAATTACTCAAATTTTTGTAAAAATGTCCTCAGGCAATCACGTATGCTACAAAATAGACATTCTGTAGCATGTTCATTTTACCAAAATGACAAAAAAGGCTAGTTTCTTCAGTCTTAGGTGTCCGAGAGAATGACTTCGTCGTCGAGAGGGTGATTCATCTCATCTAGGCTCTGCAAGTCCGAATCACGTTCTCTAGCATAAAAGTATTTTGCCGATAAAAATCGTCACCACAGAAAGTAATATTGAAATTATCATCATGACCAAGAGCAGGTAGAGTTCAGCCTCCCGTTGACNTATAAACAAATTTTGTAGCATTTCCAATTATTTATAAATAAGGGGAAAATGGCATAAATTCGGTCTAAATAATAAATTTACAAACGGCGCCCCATATTCTGTAGCATGTTCATTTTATCAAAATGACAAAAAAGGCTAGTGTCTTCAGTCTAAGGTGTCCGAGAGGATGACTTCGTCGTCGAGAGGGTGATTTATCTCATCTAGGCTGTGCAAGTCCGAATCACGCTCTCCAGCATAAAAGTATTTTGCCAATAAAAATCGTCACCACAGAAAGTAATACTGAAATAATCATTATGACCAAGAGTAGGTAGAGTTTAGCCTAGAATGTAAAATATTACGCTGCTTGTAACAGAAAACTGGTATTATACCGTCAAAGAAAACGTCATTACTGGTGGGATTTAGTTACCTTGAGTTTATTTTCACTATTAATACAGCTCGTAGAATCTCGGTCCTCTATCTTTGAGGGTCCTCTGGCCTGAGGACAATGGTAAAAAGAAAACCCTAGTTAATTATAAAGCTGTTTTTACCATCTTGGATCGGCATACTCGCACGAGCACTCTACGATCGCGAAAGAGTTCAAAGACTTTATTTCAAGCAGTTTTCCTATCCTATCTTTTTTCTGGGCAGAAATGTTCTTTAATCTTCCACGGGAAAATGCTGAGTGCCTTCCGGATAATCCTCGGTTGTATTTTTCATAAGCAATAGACTGAATATCAACAAAAATTAAACGGGATAAGTTCAGGAAAATCTTTTAAGCATGCATCGGTAAAATATTCATCTTCATTGTTTTTTGCATGATTTTCAGCCTTGCCATTCATTTTATCAGAAAACAGATTTATGCAGTAATAAAATATATCCACGTTTTAACTGGCCATAGCTGTTGTTAAGTTCAGCCTGGACATACATTTTTGGGCCGTTGCGATTGGTAGCGAAAATTCTTTCAGCCAAGCGAAGGCGAAGCACAAGATAGGGGACCCATACCTTAATGGGAGACATCAGGAATAGCGTGACGTTGAAGTCATCTTTAGCAATAAGCGTCGTGCTCGAGGAGGCCAGCTACTTATCAAAGGGCATGCCCTGAGTTGGGGGCAATCCCTTGTACAAGCTTTCCTTGTCCAAGTTTTCTCCTTCTTCGGTGACGACATACAATTCGCCATTAGACATAAAGAAGAGGAACCAGAATCCTCTCCAGCCCGTCGTACAAATAAGTTCGGATGTTCCAAACCAGTCGTCAGTCGGATCTGTGGGCGGACTCCGCTTATGAAGTTGACCGTTCTTCAGACCGTATAAGATCCCCTCTGGATCGAAAAAGAGAAAGTCAAAGGAGGACCATCCACTTGTTCCAAGCAGTTTAGCGGAATCAAGCCATTGCTTCTGTGTGCTTGATTGGAGTGGTCCTGAATAAAACTTATTTCCTTCGACTCCATATAGCTTTCCTTCCGGATCGAAGAAGAGAAAATCAAACACGTCAAATGCCCGCCAAAAATCAGAATTACACGGGGCAACTAACGTAGCGTTAGCTAACCAATCCTGTGCCTGAGTGATAGGAGAGGAGAGGGGCGTCGCTTTTACGAGTTGGCCAGCATACTGCCTTTCGTTTGGCGGTACCACGCATAAGTCGCCGTCTGGGTGGAAGAACAGAAAGAAGAATTCGTCCCAGCCAGAATCGCCTATCTCTATCATTGAGTTTTGCCAATCATCAGTGTAGCTTTCAAAAGGAATCCTGTGGTACAGTACACCACCTTCGGCTCCATGCTTGGCTCCAAAGAGATCCTGGAAAGACATGATGCTGAAAGTTATGATAAGATAAAATAATTAAGCTTGAGATAATTAAAATTTTCTTTACAGCTTTGAAAGAACATGATGTTCAAAGGCAGGAACAAAGGTTTTAGGGCGCAAAAATTTCACATATTCGAACAGACTAAAGGGACCTGGGGTGGTTGAAACAATCTTTTGTGTATGTTTTGTAAGTCAAATGAAAAACCCATTCCCTTTACAAAGGATAGGTGATATATTGATATCAGGGTGACTAAAGTGGCGCCTAATGAAACTCCTGATTATTAGGGATCGGGATTAAGATAAGACAAGTTAAGATAAGATAAGATAAGACAAGACAAGACAAGACAAGACAAGACAAGACAAGACGACAAGAGAAGACAAGACAAGGCAAGGCAAGGCAAGGCAAGGCAAGGCAAGGCAAGGCAAGGCAAGGCAAGGGAAGGTAAGGCAAGGAAAGGCAAGATGAGATAACATAAGATAAGATGAAATGAGATGAGATGAGATGAGATGACATAGGTAAGTTGTTCCACAACTGAGCTCCAGATTGAGCTAAAGGAGAGCGAAACAGAGTTATGATCTTCAGTTAATGTGCATTCTTCACTTTCTCTTAACGTTGGGTTCGCGGAACATTTGTTGGGGAGGAACATGGCGTGGAGAGCCCAAGGAGTGTCCGTGTAGGAGGCTAGCTCTTCTTTTCGTGATTCCGCAGTGTAAAAGTTTAGTTTAATTAACCAGTAGCAAAGCGAAGATATGATAAGATGCTCAACTTGTGATGATTAACTGGCTACTGCATTTCAAAGATCTTTAAGTGGTCTGTACTGCTTTTTGTTTTTGATTTATCGACTGAAACAGTTTTGTACGTCCTGTAAAGTCCAAACTTTGTGAATTTTAATTTGTTACTTACGCTTGTTTACTGTTCTTCGCCAAAGACCGAGCTCTCCGTACGAAATATAGCTTCCATGTTACTTCTTTCACTTTAAGCCTAAAATGTGCTTCAAAGCTCGCGACATCAACCTCGGACAATAGAGAGTGTACACGCTATGGCGCCAATATCTTTTAAAAGTGTTTTGTTCATGCTCAATAT